GCCCTACATCGACGCACATCCTGCTCACATCCTAGCTTTCTTTTGTAATGGTGAATCGGCCCACCCTGGCCTCCTAGCAGAGTCAACCCTGCGTTGCGCAGTTCGCAACGGCACGTTGAGAGATCCTCAACGCACGCTGTATGGGCGGAGACGCAGACGGCTCGAGCATGCGAGTGTGAATGTTCGCGCGAGAGAACGTGTCTAATCGGGCGAAACTGCGCAACGTGGCCGTTGAAAACTGCGCAACGCAGGGTTGACTCTGCCTCCAACCCCTTCGCGCCTAGAAGGATTCCATAACCCTAATTTCAGGACCTTTCCTTTCACAACAGGCCAAAATCCGCAAAGCACCTTAGGAGTACCTTCACACTACAGCGGTCTTTCTCAACAGCAATTTTAAATTAATCCATCATTTGTCATGAAGACTCGAATTCTTATCCTCATTATATGAGAGCACCATAGAGTGAACCCCGCGCCCGCCCTGAATATGGAGTTCCACCTTTTCCAAGTATTTTTGGCCTTGCCGCGGAGAAACTACGTATAAGTTCTAAAATGGGTAATCGAGGAAAAAGGTCCCCCATCTACCTTGCGAATTTAGTTATTAGGATAGGCTTTGTGAGTCATAGAGGTTTGCCAGTCAAACGCCGGTGCGGGCGCGAAACCCCCTGTTGACGATCTGGCGGGACCTGGCGGGAAGAGCCCAGGAGGGGGTTCAGAGAATTTTACTTTTCAGATATCTTGGACCTCGTGGCCCGTGCGCCCGACCCTCGCCTACCCCTGCATGTCATCTTCTATTGCTTCGCTTTGATATCCTGTGACTATTTGTTGACTATTTGACTATTTCTATTTGTTCGCGTTTAATACGTTGTTTTTCTTTAAATAAAACTGTTACTCATAAGGCTGACTAGTGTGGAACAGGTCCACCACCCGCCATACTTTGTTGAACCGATACGGGCAGACAAACCCGCGCACCAGCTTCCAAATAAGTTTGATAGAAATTCGAGTAATAGTGATCAAATTTTGAAATACAAGCCTTCCTCTTTCATAAGAATTACACAACAATTTACGTAATTCACACGGCCTTCAGTAGGTCGCATCAGTAAAAAAGTCACAAAAATCCCCGAGTGAGAAAGAAGTGAGAACAAATGAGCGCGAACAACAAACATGAGAACAGCGTGCCCGCCCATAATGGGCGTTACCTACAAGAAAGTAGCCAGATTTCCTGACGTCAAGCTCTCAGAAGAGAGTCGTACAAGCCACGAACACGATGATGAAATGAAATCGACACAAACAGCTGAATAAGGAAAAAATCGATGAGTCAGAGACGGATAAATGATATTGTCCCCACAATTATGGCTATCAACAGCAGCTGCAGATGTGCCAACAGATGATCGTATGACAACATCTATTACGACTCAGAAAGCAATCATTTCAATGAGCCTTCGGCACCCTTTCCTACGAAATTCGTCCTCTATAATTTGCATAAATATTGGTAGAAATTCAATTACTCTCTCTGTAGTCACAGCACCTTCCAAATTCCGACTTTTGAAACAGGTACTGCAGAACAAATCCGATCGAATTTTTGTTTACACCTTTTAGATAAAGCCTAAAGCCTAGAAGAAATAGGTACCAAGATATAATATTTTAGATTAGCTCATATACAAGGAAACCTTATCGAAAGTTGAAAATCATGCAAGAGCTGTAAACAAGGTTTTACTGAAGAATTTGTCATTTTTAACAGTTTATACACATCAGCTACCTATATGCATAGAAATTAAGGCTTAGGCAAAACTTAGGCGGCGACAAAGAATTGTGGTCGGGGGGGGGGGGGGGGGGAGGGGGAGGTGGCAGTCGCGGCGCGGCAACAGGAAATTCGTGAGCCAGAGGGGAATGTAGCCAATTCAGGGGGGTGGGGGTGAGGGCAGTCACTAACATGCGTGAGAAGCTGGAATGTTCGAGTTTACTCTACTTCGCTAAGCCGCGCGCGGTGACTGCCCCCCCCCCCCTGAGCCACATTGCGGCGAAATTTGCCAATATTCTGCATATTTCTATTTCAAAAATTAACAGTCAGTTCCTTCATTTCACAAGAGAGAACCGCATTTGAGGAGCCATCAAATGAAACCTTCGATAGACCTCGTGAAAGCGGTGTCGGTGAGCAGCTCCGATATTGCTCAGCAGTCAGCATACGGAAACCGAAAAGCGGAACCGTCGAGAAATGCACGGGACATTCCGCAATTCCACCTAACAGGGAAGGGCTTGTGGGTACTCAATTTCTTCTTCTTAGCGTTAGTCCCGCGCAGTCGCAGTTCTTAGGCCTGCCGCTTGTCTGATCGATCGCCCGAGAACTCGCGTATTACGGTCCAGGACATCTTCTGCTGTGACCAAGAATTCACCCTCCTTAAGTCCTTCTTGATCAGTCTCTCCACCTCTTCTTTGGGGCACCTCGTTTTCGCTTGCCCTACGCTTCGAAGTCCATCGTTTCCTTTATCGGGAGATCCTGTGGTCTCCGTAGCTCGTGCCCATACCATCGCAGGTGTTCAGTTGGACAGAGGCAATCTATGGGCGCTCTGACATCCTCGTTTCTGACCCTGTCCAGTCATGCCCAGCCGCAGGCCTACCTCAGCATTATCATTCGAGCGGAGTGAAGGCTACCTTTCGCGGTTCTTGTTTCGAGATCAGCACTTGCTGCCATAAAGCATCGCAGGGCTCAGCAAACCTATTTCAGTTTTTCAATAAGTTTAGTCTCCCATGGAAGGATGCCCTTGAAATGTTCCTATCAAGTGAGTTTGCTGCCAGCTTTTTTTCAGGTTATCTAGAAAGCTAGCTGGCGCGAAATTCATCTCGCGAGCTCTAGAGATGTGAGACGGCGACTCCACTCATAGTCAGTGCGCTACACAACTGGAGTCCCTAAAATCGCATAGAAAATTGAACAAGGCAGAGACAAACAAAGTGGCAGGGTGGTGAATATTCGGCAGGAACCACATAGCCAAAAAGGTCTTCACTTTTCACCCTTGCGCTGCCCCCCCAAAATGTCAAAACGACTGCTAACTATCACCATGGGCTAAATACGCTTCCAAATGCCATTACTTGCCAGAGAGAGAGAGCTCGAAATAGTGGCCTACCTTGAAGGAACTGATCAATGCTGCCCTTCCTCACGATTTGGTTTCACTCTCGGAGAAAAAGGGTGGTTTCCCTTGTGCTTTTACCTACTTGGGTTGGCAAAAAGGAACCTCAGCCAACCTTAATGCTGACCGTAGCGCACTTTAGCTCTGCCATGACTAAATCGTAGCCGCGACACTTCACCAACATTACCCTTAAATGGATAGGTTAAAAGCACTCAGGTGAACGATGGCCATCCGAGCGCCACTTTTCAGCCTCGAATATCCACGACGACCACCATCAAGCCACTACAAAGAGCAACGGCTGTGAATGATCTATGCCTGACGACCGAATAGAGCCTATTTTCGTTGATATTGCACACACGTCAAGCGAAGAAGCAAATTCGTCATCGGCTCTACCGAACCAGGCATTCGAAAGATATTGAAAAGTGAAATAATGGAAAAAAGCTAGTGCGTGTTAGGGGTTAAAATCAATGCAAAATAGGCAATGATAGCGGATACTGGAACTGCGGGAGTTCTAATGATCCGTTTAAATCGTGATCTAAACTGTGAAGTAGTTATAGATTCGATGAGTTAGGTCACGCAAGCATTTCATGTTTCGTGATTCGAGCTGAACGGGATCAAGTTTGCCTGCGGGATTTGCCTGGAGTCATTGTGGGAGCCATCTCACGGGAACATCTATTACCGCTGCCTAAATTGGCAGGGTTCACTAGAAGGCGATATGAAAGAAGGGTAGGAACAAGTTTGTTGAGTAAAATGTAACAAGAAAGAGATCTATGCAAGAGAAATCGAATATAAAAGATTGCATGACAAGGTAGAAGTAAAAGGAAAATCGTTGCAAATAAAGAAAGCAAAAAATTGTTATCGCAAGATATGGGGCACCCCCTAGGGCTAATTTGAAGCCTACGAGTAGCAGAACCCGACAAACAGAAAATGAATGTTCAATTCATTTTTGAATTGTGAGCTGCAATGCCTCCACAAAATACCAGACCAACAAAGATGTTTGCGAGTAGCAACTTCTGCGTCTTTGACATTGTGCTGGGACCGTATGCTGAATGTTGGGGAGGGGATGGGGTCCCCAAGGTCGACGGACTACTTGAACTCGGTCGGTACAGTAGGAGAGTGATGACGAAGTGGTGCAGCTAGGTCCAGCAGCTCGCCAGAAGGGCTGGTTTGCTCACCCAGGAACTAAGCCTGAGAGAGGACAGACCTGCGTCCCAGGTCCGTCCTCTCTCTCAAGGCTTAGTCCTGAGGTAAGCATCAAATTGAGGCGGTTTTAAAGAGCTTTGTTGAAGTAGTCCGTCGACCTTCGGGACCCCATCCCCTCCCCAACATTCACCATACGGCCCAAAGCAGAAACGCCAAAAGGGCTGGTTTGCCTACTTCAGATGTTGCTTAACAACCACGACTAGAACGTGTTATGCAAGACTCCGCTCCTGTTCAAGAAAGTCCAAAATTTACTATCAAAATAAATATGTTGGAAGGGAAACATACAATACTCTCTGGATAATACCAGATTGTCAAAAACTCCTCTGTAGAGTCAAAAAATGTGAACCATCCAATCAAAAGCACCACAGCGCAATCTTAAGGAGCGTAATGTTGAGGACAGATTTGACTACTAGCGAGAATAGGGCAGGTAAATCCTCTGCTCACCATACAAGACAAGCAATTATGCTGCGATTTTATCGAAATAAACACAAGTCAACAGATAACATTCAACAAAAAGATCATATTTGCACACGTTTCGACATGAACTAACACAACAAAACTTGTCTAGGTGACACCAGTAGACTTGTAAACCGGAACCAATGTACATTATTCGGCTAAATTTGTGTGGAGCGACCAATCACTAATGAATTCGGGAAATGTCCTCGATGAACTTGATCAGTTCCTCTGGTGATTGATGAACGCCCTCAATTTGAAATAAACTTTAAAAAACACCTAAAACCTTATCAGGCACAGGTGTTTTAAAAATTACAGAGCGGCCAAACAGTTACTATCAAAAACAATATGAGGCACTCAAGGCCTTCAAGGGAGAGGAGGGGAGGGGACATTCAAAACAAGGGCATTTTAAAACCGCTGGTAAGTGACAGCAGGAGAAGGAGAACAAAAATTGCTCACATCCTCTCCCAGAAACCCTTCCCTTCCCTAAGGCTTATTCCTAAATACTAAGTGGCTCGCTCACATGGATGTTGCCCCCCCCCTACGACATGAGCGCCCAATATATGTCCTGGAGAAAACCAAAAATCAGGTAAATAAGGATGGTAATGCCAACAAGATCCCTTCCCAGAGTCAACCCTGCGTTGCGCAGTTCTCAACGGCCACGTTGCGCAGTTTCGCCCGATTAGACACGTTCTCTCGCGCGAACATTCACACTCGCATGCTCGAGCCGTCTGTGTCTCCGCCCATACAGCGTGCGTTGAGGATCTCTCAACGTGCCGTTGCGAACTGCGCAACGCAGGGTTGACTCTGCTTCCGAGTCGACCCAACTCGACGCTAGCGATATAGCTCTTGAGAAAGTGTTCAAACAGGAGGGACGGAGAGCAAGAGAATGCTCAGAGCGCTAACCGCTTCACGCCTACTCTCTTCTATGTGAGCACTACCTAACCCAGACACCTTCACTAGTCGCCGAGTATGAACGGAACGCAAATCTTCTAATCTTCAAATCGTAACAACGCTTGCAATTGCCAAGAACAAGCTGTTTGTAACACAACATATAAAATACACAAAATTCAGAGTTGAAAAAATCGGATACTTGCTCACCAGGTCGCTGGATACCGGCCAATGCTGCAGCGGCTGTTTCACGAGGCATATCCAACAGGGACTCCACCAAGTCTCCATCAATGAACCCACTGCCTATAATATGACTCTAGTTTATTATGAACACTATTGATTGCTGAGAATTAAAAATCATTAGAGACCTAAGACAGGTAATTGCACACAGATTGCGAATAGCAGTTCTGTACGCAACCTGGTTTTCAAAATGAAACAAAATAAGACCAAAAATGATAAAAATAAAACCAAAAATGAATAAAAATAACATTATGATAACGCTTACCTTATCTACAAGTTTCTCACTGGTAAACTGTCGGTACACTGCATGTTCTATTCGCATACAGTTGTCAGTCTCCTTTGCAACGCCTTTTTCTACGTCAGAGAAGAACCTAAACAGGCAACCATAAGATAGCTTATCCTACAGGCCTTGAAAAAGCCATAAAAAAGTGGTCCTAGCAAAATTATAATCTTAAATGTACGTGGTACGATTAACTGGAGGTCGAAAAGGGGGAGTATACCTTTCATGAAGGGACGGAGTTCCACTAAGAGAGCGAGACAAGGCGCTTTTTGCTGCAAGGTTGCTCACAGCGGACAGAGTTTTACCCGCAGCGGTAAGTTTCCTCCACGCTTGTATACGCAACCGATTTTCCATTCCGCTAATGGCCTCTCGCCGTTCGACTCAAGCTGTTTTAGCAGAGAATCAGAGAATAGCGTTCATGCTGATGACGTCAGGGCCAATGAGGCTTACCCAAAGCGGGAATCAACAGGAGATCTAGCTCCGTTGAAAAAGGCAGAATTCTGGGGTGGTGTACCATTTAGCAGCTCTACTTTACTTTGACACTCAAGAAAGGAAATTCAAACTAACCTGAAATATTTCTCCGGTAGTTGTACAATGAGCCCAATCGTGCCATCAACGGTTCCATAGAGAATAGGTTTCTCTATGGGGAGCGGATTGTCAACGTGGCTTGAAACAAGCGATCCTCTTTGGAAAACATTCACCATTTCCCCAAGATAAAACATGCCTGCTTCCTAAACACAAGGGTATCAGAAATGAAAATAATGAGTAAGATAAAAAGGTCATCCTGGGTCGACGCAAGGCCTCCTTCTATCTGCATAATTCGACAACCTCGATAACTCAAGATCAAGTGTAAAACTAAAGCAGTAGCCAAAACAGACCGCTAGCCTGCGCTTCTCATCAGCATTGTCTGCTCCTCTATCAATTTCGCAAGTGAACAAGTTATGACCCGCTTCAGCTCCAAGTGCCGTTTCTGCATCTATGAATTCCACCGCTGACATCCACATTCCACGATAATCTCTGAAGAATTCCAGGAAAAATATAGGCAAGTAAAACTTTTAGAACAAATGAAATGGCGCTAA